CTTGTTTGTATTGTTCAATTACAGTCTTGACCTGGTGCACACCCGTTAACCCCTTTATTAGTGTAATCTGCGTTGTGTTCCATGTTGAAGAAGGACCACGACACAAGGACGATCACTGGATGACTTTTACTAGTAGCTCTGCACAAAATAAAAGAAAACACAAATACACATCACGTCTCTCCATGCATTCAGCTCAGCAGTCCTCTCCACAGATGCAAGGCACAGACTATGGTTCTCCTGATAAAGGAAAAAAGCAACATTAGCTCAAGTTATTATTGCCTTTTTAGTGGTATACAGGTTGATCACTTTTGTTCTCCAGTTGTTGTAATCAAGGAAAAACACCACACACTTCGTGGTTTTAGAGCTGAATACTTTAGCACTAAAGTATTTATGTGCTTTTGTTGTGACTATAAGGCCCTGTCCACACGAAGTCAAGCTCAGGCCTAAACGCAAAAATACTTTATCAATCCAGTGTATCGTCCATACGAGGCCGGCGTTTTGGGGGGGTGTAAACGAACATTTTTGAAACTAGGTCCCAGAGTGGAAAGATTTCAAAACTCCGTATATGCCGCTCCGTGGTTACTGCCTCTCCGCAGTGTATCTGAGACGCTTGCGTCATCGCCCCGCCTCTTGTTAAAGCAGCATGCGCCGCACTCAGAAAATAATGACAACAACAATGTAGCTTGTTGGTTTTGTAATCCAGTGTGACCCGAAGCAACAGTTCAACCTCATCGTCCGTCCATACTAATGTAGTACCAGCTCGCCCACTCGCCATGTTGTCTGTTTACAACATTCCGCGCATGCCCACGGAAGTTTGGGCTTGATCCCGTCATTGCGTCACAGCGCCACCAACAGGTCTGGCATAGTTTCACAGCGTTTTCAGGCGTATTGACTACATTCATATGGACGCACACATTTACTGAGCTAACTCCGTGTTTACAGAAAAAGTTTCTGAAATTATAAGCGTTTTGTCTTCGTGTGGATATAGCCTAAGGCTACACAGGCCAAATCATGAACAGCTGTTTCTCCTCAGACTAAAACAAAGGAGCCTCCTTAGCTAACTTAGCAAAACAGCTAAAATGCTAACTGCCGGTTAGCATTTTAGCTGTTTGAGCTTGCTTTAACTTGACTGAACTAACTTGAACTACATCTAGTGACATCATGTAACCTAGTGATTACTTATGGATTGGAATTTTTGATTATTAGATAATGTAGGACACAAACACAAAGTCTGTTCCAGTGTTCTTCCTTCTTTAGCCACTCAGCTATGCACATACAACTTGCCTGTGACGTGGCCCAGAAACCCAGTGTTTACCTTTCACTGGCCCCGCCCCCAAGCGACAAAAGTGTTCAACGCGCGCAGAACACAGACCACGAGAAGGGAGAGGGCAGGTCACGAGCGCACACACGTGCGTATTGTTGCTCGTGGTACTGAGTCTGCGCGCGTGTGGTGTGAAATGTGCGCGTGGAGAGTAGTTTGCGCGCGTGTGAATTACATAAAGCTGCGCGTGTATGTGTTATTTGAGCGTGTGGACTTTTGGCGTAAATCTGGCGCCATATTGGCTTTAGTCCTCCGAGACCGCGGCTCCTGCCGTCCTGTCTCCCTCCAACAGCGCGCGCAAGTGTGTGCGTGCGTATGAGTGTGTGCGTGCGTGTACGCGAGTGTATGCGTCGTCACTAAGGCCTGCACACTTAAACATTCCGTCTTCCTACTTTGTTTTTGGCAGCGGGAAAATGCTGTAGTATATGAACATCAGAAATGTCCGTGAGAAAACAGCTTTGGAGGACCCTACCGCGCTACTTGCTCAAAAAAATAGCTTAGCTACAGAAAAGTTACTTGGATTTGTAAATAGTGACGCTACCCTCAAGCTACTGAAAAACGTAGCGAGTTAAGCTAGTAGCGTCGCTACTGCCCATCACTGTAAACTACAGACTTAAAACATGGATTCAAAAGGCTCTGACTTGTACATTTGCATTTGTAACAACATAAATAACATTTAAAACCGAAATCATGCAGAGTGTAAAAACGTGACCCACCTCCTCAGACGCTAGACAAAGACTGAGCGAGGCGCATGCTATACTTCCGGTAAGAGCGTGTAGACCAATCAGAAAGGAAGGGGGAGGGAGCTTGGGTTGTTTTTTTTTTTCAAATCAAGTACCTCTCTGTCTCTCTTTCTGACAAACTCTAGACAATCACTTTAAAGAACAAATGTACAATATTGCACAACACCTGGATTCGAAGTTAAAACATACCTCCATGACAAACAGATGCCCTTTCATGGGTTTGCACGTGTGTGAGCATTTGTGAGACAGAGAGGTACTTGATTTGAAAAAAAAAAACAACCCCAGCTCCCTCCCCCTTCCTTTCTGATTGGTCTACACGCTCTTACCGGAAGTATAGCATGATTTATATAATGTTTGTTTTACATTAGTAGGCCCGAGCGCCACCAGGCTGGCACAGGGACTATTGTAATGAAAGTGTGCATAAAACACTGAACCCCCCTCAAACATAAACATGTCATGGTACATGTTTCCTGGACGTACACTGTACTAAAAACTCTGCATTGCAACATTGTTGATGTACAGAGACCATAAAGTCATAAGTGCAAGTCACTGACAATATATTAAACAGGACACAACACCTTTTAGGGCTGCATTCCGTTTTGTGAACTGTTGTTGTTGAATGTAACACATTTTACTCTTATCTAGGTGACAGTTCACACTCTGGCCGAGGCATTTCACCTGCCTCAGCAAGAGGCAATTGAAAAATTCATAAAGGGGCCAAAGTATGAACCATGGTAAGATTATTTAAATATTGATGGACATATTTCACTGTGCACTGCACAATCTAATCTGTGATTGTTCTTTATGGACAGTGAGTTTAAAATGATTGCAAATGATCTGGTGAGGCATTTACCAGAGGAGGCAGCAGGGAGGCTGAAAGCTTTCCAAGAGAGATGGAGATTGGCGCTCTCCTCTGAAGCCTTTCTCTCACGATTATAATAAATAAGAATTTGTTGCAATATTTGTTTTGTGTTGAACTTATTCAGTGTCTACATTTCAGAGCCATTCAGATAACACAAATGTATAAAAAAGCATGTACATAAAATGCCAGAAAACAATTTGTTCTTTTTGTTTAATCTCCCTCTTCTACATACAAATTTGACAAAACACAATAGTAATGAATGTCTGCTTGTCCCAAAAGGCCAAAGTTGGGCACAAAAATGTTATGGCATGTTCTCTTTATGATCAGTAATGTGGAGACCATGGGTGTAGGAGTGTGTGGTGGTGGTGGTGTAATAATATCTTTAACTTGTAATGTACTTTTCAATCCTGTGTTGACAAGTTTCTCAAAACGCCACACTAGTCTTTATTCATTTATTCCACACAGTGTGTCACAGCTGGGTTGGAGGATGCCAGGCTACTAATCTGTGCTATTGGCCACCACCAAGCAGTCTCTCACTATGTCCACACATGTGGGTGAAGTGCATTGCTCAAGAACATACCAGACTGCACTTGGGGCAGCCAGGATTTGAGCCACCAACCATAGGCCCCTTTTATTTACTATTACTATATATATATATATATATATATATATATATATATATTCGTTTATTCTTCGGCCATCAGCAGAAAATAAGAAAACATTTGACATTCACAAATTATAAATTATATACTGACCGAAAGGGTTAGGCTGAAGTTTAACACTTATTTCGCCTAACCCTATTAACAAATAACAAAATTACATTTCTTACTTATACAAATGTAACAAAATTATATACAATGTAGCGGATCCACAGAGCTTACAGTATTTCCAAATACAATTTTCATTGTAAGAAAATAAATAGTTCGTACTAATTCAAAGAAATATTCCTTGTAATCACATTATATACATAAACACAGAGTATGACATATATATTTATATATATATAGTTTTTTTTCTTATTATTATTTATTTATTTTAATTTTCTTCCTTTTATGTATATAATATATATATATATATCTATACATGGATTTAAATACACATACACACATTCATACATATACATATATATATACATACACACACATACAAACATACACCTATACCTGTACCTGCACTCAATAAAAATCATCAACAATGCTAAACAGTGTGGTCTGAGTGAGGCCCAGTGTGGTCTGAGTGAGGCCCCAGTGTGGTCTGAGTGAGGCCCCAGTGTGGTCTGAGTGAGGCCCCAGTGTGGTCTGAGTGAGGCCCCAGTGTGGTCTGAGTGAGGCCCCAGTGTGGTCTGAGTGAGGCCCAGTGTGGTCTGAGTGAGGCCCCAGTGTGGTCTGAGTGAGGCCCAGTGCAGTCTGAGTGAGGCCCAGTGTGGTCTGAGTGAGGCCCCAGTGTGGTCTGAGTGAGGCCCCAGTGTGGTCTGAGTGAGGCCCCAGTGTGGTCTGAGTGAGGCCCAGTGTGGTCTGAGTGGGGCCAGTGTGGTCTGAGTGAGGCCCAGTGTAGTCTGAGTGAGGCCCAGTGTGGTCTGAGTGAGGCCCCAGTGTGGTCTGAGTGAGGCCCAGTGTGAGGCCCCAGTGTGGTCTGAGTGAGGCCCCAGTGTGAGGCCCCAGTGTGGTCAGAGTGAGGCCCCAGTGTGGTCTGAGTGAGGCCCAGTGTGGTCTGAGTGAGGCCCCAGTGTGAGGCCCAGTGTGGTCTGAGTGAGGCCCCAGTGTGAGGCCCCAGTGTGGTCTGAGTGAGGCCCAGTGTGAGGCCCCAGTGTGGTCTGAGTGAGGCCCAGTGTGAGAGCCCAGTGTGGTCTGAGTGAGGCCCCAGTGTGAGGCCCCAGTGTGGTCTGAGTGAGGCCCAGTGTGAGGCCCCAGTGTGGTCTGAGTGAGGCCCCAGTTGAGGCCCCAGTGTGGTCTGAGTGAGGCCCCAGTGTGGTCTGAGTGAGGCCCAGTGTGAGGCCCCAGTGTGGTCTGAGTGAGGCCCCAGTGTGAGGCCCAGTGTGGTCTGAGTGATGCCCCAGTGTGAGGCCCCAGTGTGGTCAGAGTGAGGCCCAGTGTGGTCTGAGTGAGGCCCAGTGTGAGGCCCCAGTGTGGTCTGAGTGAGGCCCAGTGTGAGAGCCCCAGTGTGGTCTGAGTGAGGCCCCAGTGTGAGGCCCCAGTGTGGTCTGAGTGAGGCCCAGTGTGAGGCCCCAGTGTGGTCTGAGTGAGGCCCCAGTGTGAGGCCCCAGTGTGGTCTGAGTGAGGCCCCAGTGTGGTCTGAGTGAGGCCCCAGTGTGGTCTGAGTGAGGCCCCAGTGTGGTCTGAGTGAGGCCCCAGTGTGGTCTGAGTGAGGCCCAGTGTGGTCTGAGTGAGGCCCCAGTGTGGTCTGAGTGAGGCCCAGTGTGGTCTGAGTGAGGCCCCAGTGTGGTCTGAGTGAGGCCCAGTGTGTTCTGAGTGAGGCCCCAGTGTGGTCTGAGTGAGGTCCCAGTGTGGTCTGAGTGAGGCCCAGTGTGGTCTGAGTGAGGCCCTGTGGTCTGAGTGAGGCCCCAGTGTGGTCTGAGTGAGGCCCCAGTGTGAGGCCCCAGTGTGGTCTGAGTGAGGCCCAGTGTAGTCTGAGTGAGGCCCAGTGTGGTGTCTGAGTGTGGCCCCAGTGTGGTCTGAGTGAGGCCCCAGTGTGGTCTGAGTGAGGCCCAGTGTGGTCTGAGTGAGGCCCAGTGTGAGGCCCCAGTGTGGTCTGAATGAGGCCCAGTGTGGTCTGAGTGAGGCCCCAGTGTGGTCTGAGTGAGGCCCCAGTGTGGTCTGAGTGAGGCCCCAGTGTGGTCTGAGTGAGGCCCAGTGTGGTCTGAGTGAGGCCCCAGTGTGGTCTGAGTGAGGCCCAGTGTGGTGTCTGAGTGAGGCCCCAGTGTGGTCTGAGTGAGGCACAGTGTGGTCTGAGTGAGGCCCAGTGTGGTCTGAGTGAGGCCCAGTGTGAGGCCCCAGTGTGGTCTGAGTGAGGCCCAGTGTGGTCTGAGTGAGGCCCCAGTGTGGTCTGAGTGAGGCCCCAGTGTGGTCTGAGTGAGGCCCCTGTGTGAGGCCCCAGTGTGGTCTGAGTGAGGCCCAGTGTGGTCTGAGTGAGGCCCCAGTGTGGTCTGAGTGAGGCCCCAGTGTGAGGCCCCAGTGTGGTCTGAGTGAGGCCCCAGTGTGGTCTGAGTGAGGCCCAGTGTGGTCTGAGTGAGGCCCCAGTGTGAGGCCCCAGTGTGGTCTGAGTGAGGCCCCAGTGTGGTCTGAGTGAGGCCCAGTGTGGTCTGAGTGAGGCCCCAGTGTGGTCTGAGTGAGGCCCAGTGTGGTCTGAGTGAGGCCCCAGTGTGGTCTGAGTGAGGCCCCAGTGTGGTCTGAGTGAGGCCCAGTGTGGTCTGAGTGAGGCCCCAGTGTGGTCGGAGTGAGGCCCAGTGTGGTCTGAGTGAGGCCCCAGTCTGAGCCCAGTGTCTGAGTGAGGCCCCAGTGTGGTCTGAGTGAGGCCCCAGTGTGGTCTGAGTGAGGCCCAGTGTGGTCTGAGTGAGGCCCAGTGTGGTCTGAGTGAGGCCCCAGTGTGGTCTGAGTGAGGCCCAGTGTGGTCTGAGTGAGGCCCCAGTGTGGTCTGAGTGAGGCCCCAGTGTGGTCTGAGTGAGGCCCAGTGTGGTCTGAGTGAGGCCCCAGTGTGTCTGAGTGAGGCCCCAGTGTGGTCTGAGTGAGGTCCCAGTGTGGTCTGAGTGAGGCCCCAGTGTGGTCTGAGTGAGGCCCCAGTGTGGTCTGAGTGAGGCCCCAGTGGTCTGAGGCCCAGTGTGGTCTGAGTGAGCCCCAGTGTGTCTGAGTGAGGCCCCAGTGTGGTCTGAGTGAGGCCCAGTTGTGAGGCCCCAGTGTGGTCTGAGTGTGAGGCCCAGTGTGGTCTGAGTGATGCCCCAGTGTGAGGCCCCAGTGTGGTCAGAGTGAGGCCCCAGTGTGGTCTGAGTGAGGCCCCCCCAGTGTGGTCTGAGTGAGGCCCCAGTGTGGTCTGAGTGAGGCCCAGTGTGGTCTGAGTGAGGCCCCAGTGTGGTCTGAGTGAGGCCCAGTGTGGTCTGAGTGAGGCCCCAGTGTGGTCTGAGTGAGGCCCCAGTGTGGTCTGAGTGAGGCCCAGTGTGGTCTGAGTGAGGCCCCAGTGTGGTCGGAGTGAGGCCCAGTCTGGTCTGAGTGAGGCCCCAGTGTGGTCTGAGTGAGGCCCCAGTGTGGTCTGAGTGAGGCCCCAGTGTGGTCTGAGTGAGGCCCCAGTGTGGTCTGAGTGAGGCCCAGTGTGGTCTGAGTGAGGCCCCAGTGTGGTCTGAGTGAGGCCCCAGTGTGGTCTGAGTACGGCCCCAGTGTGGTTTGAGTGAGGCCCCAGTGTGGCCTGAGTGAGGCCCAGTGTGGTCTGAGTGAGGCCCCAGTGTTGTCTGAGTGAGGCCCCAGTGTGGTCTGAGTGAGGTCCCAGTGTGGTCTGAGTGAGGCCCAGTGTGGTCTGAGTGAGGCCCCAGTGTGGTCTGAGTGAGGCCCCAGTGTGAGGCCCAGTGTGGTCTGAGTGAGCCCCAGTGTAGTCTGAGTGAGGCCCCAGTGTGGTCTGAGTGAGGCCCCAGTGTGGTCTGAGTGAGGCCCAGTGTGAGGCCCCAGTGTGGTCTGAGTGAGGCCCCAGTGTGAGGCCCCAGTGTGGTCTGAGTGATGCCCCAGTGTGAGGCCCCAGTGTGGTCAGAGTGAGGCCCCAGTGTGGTCTGAGTGAGGCCCAGTGTGGTCTGAGTGAGGCCCCAGTGTGAGGCCCCAGTGTGGTCTGAGTGAGGCCCCAGTGTGGTCTGAGTGAGGCCCCAGTGTGAGGCCCAGTGTGGTCTGAGTGAGAGGCCCAGTGTGTCTGAGAGGCCCAGTGTGGTCTGAGTGAGGCCCCAGTGGGTGAGTGAGGCCCCAGTGTGGTCTGAGTGAGGCCCAGTGTGAGGCCCCAGTGTGGTCTGAGTGAGGCCCCAGTGTGAGGCCCCAGTGTGGTCTGAGTGAGGCCCCAGTGTGGTCTGAGTGAGGCCCCAGTGTGGTCTGAGTGAGGCCCCAGTGTGGTCTGAGTGAGGCCCAGTGTGGTCTGAGTGAGGCCCCAGTGTGGTCTGAGTGAGGCCCCAGTGTGGTCTGAGTGAGGCCCAGTGGAGGCCCCAGTGTGAGGTCTGAGTGAGGCCCCAGTGAGGCCCCAGTGTGGTCTGAGTGAGGCCCCAGTGTGGTCTGAGTGAGGCCCAGTGTGGTCTGAGTGAGGCCCCAGTGCGTGAGGCCCCAGTGTGGTCTGAGTGAGGCCCAGTGTGGTCTGAGTGAGGCCCCAGTGTGGTCTGAGTGAGCCCCAGTGTGGTCTGAGTGAGGCCCAGTGTGGTCTGAGTGAGGCCCCAGTGTGGTCTGAGTGAGGCCCAGTGTGGTCTGAGTGAGGCCCCAGTGTGGTCTGAGTGAGGCCCCAGTGTGGTCTGAGTGAGCCCCAGTGTGGTCTGAGTGAGGCCCCAGTGTGGTCTGTGAGGCCCCAGTGTGGTCTGAGTGAGGCCCCAGTGTGGTCTGAGTGAGGCCCCAGTGTGGTCTGAGTGAGGCCCAGTGTGGTCTGAGTGAGGCCCCAGTGTGGTCTGAGTGAGGCCCAGTGTGGTCTGAGTGAGGCCCCAGTGTGAGGCCCCAGTGTGGTCTGAGTGAGGCCCCAGTGTGGTCTGAGTGAGGCCCCAGTGTGGTCTGAGTGAGGCCCCAGTGTGGTCTGAGTGAGGCCCCAGTGTGGTCTGAGTGAGGCCCCAGTGTGGTCTGAGTGAGGCCCCAGTGTGGTCTGAGTGAGGCCCAGTGTGGTCTGAGTGAGGCCCCAGTGTGGTCTGAGTGAGGCCCAGTGTGGTCTGAGTGAGGCCCCAGTGTGGTCTGAGTGAGGCCCAGTGTGGTCTGAGTGAGGCCCCAGTGTGGTCTGAGTGAGGTCCCAGTGTGGTCTGAGTGAGGCCCAGTGTGGTCTGAGTGAGGCCCAGTGTGGTCTGAGTGAGGCCCCAGTGTGGTCTGAGTGAGGCCCCAAGTGTGGTCTGAGTGAGGCCCCAGTGTGGTCTGAGTGAGGCCCCAGTGTGGTCTGAGTGAGGCCCAGTGTGGTCTGAGTGAGGCCCCAGTGTGGTCTGAGTGAGGCCCAGTGTGGTCTGAGTGAGGCCCCAGTGTGGTCTGAGTGAGGCCCAGTGTGGTCTGAGTGAGGCCCCAGTGTGGTCTGAGTGAGGCCCCAGTGTGGTCTGAGTGAGGCCCCAGTGTGGTCTGAGTGAGGCCCAGTGTGGTCTGAGTGAGGCCCCAGTGTGGTCTGAGTGAGGCCCAGTGTGGTCTGAGTGAGGCCCCAGTGTGGTCTGAGTGAGGCCCAGTGTGGTCTGAGTGAGCAAAATAGGAATGGTAAATATCAAAATATATCTCAATGCATTTCCTTATATCTCGAGATACATTATTAGTAAAAAAGTTGTGACAGGGCGAATGGCCTGCATTCTCCACATTATCCCACTTATTATACGACTATCTGTCAACTGAATACTGTGTCCTCAGAAAAGTGTCAATTAAAGTATCTGCACTTTTAAAGGTAATAACTGAATGACTAAAATTACTATTACACAGATATATCCAAGAGATGGTGTGGAAAAAATTAAAAGAAAAGATTAACAAATACTTTTTTGGCTAAACAGATCATCCTCTGATTTGATCATTCTACTGTGACTCCAGTTATAGAAAATAAAAGGTCCTCAGTGAAAAAGCGACGGAACTCTCACAAATCAACACAAAATCAGGAAATCCCTTCATATAATAAGATATTTTTAGAAAAATAGTCAATTTCTAATCATCAATACAAATTCAAATGTGTAACGGACATAAGATTTTAGTCAATTTCTTTGTAAAAAATAAAAGCTCTGGTTTCACATTCAATTGGTTTCCTTTATGAAAGTAATAATTTTGTTACTTCTGTAGGAGCCAATCAGAGCTTTAATTTTCCTGTGTGATTGAGATTGGTAAATGCACTGGTATTTAGTGTACACGCTCACTTCAACTGTGTGTGTGTGTGTGCGCTTGGGAAGGAACTTTCTGTTGACCGCATGTTTTCCATCAGAGAAATATCTGCACTGTCTTATGGAGGCATCTTCATCGTCATCATCATCATCATCATATATAACCCTGTGACGTGGCTAGGCGGATAACATCTAAGCTAGCAAGTTCAAAAACTCTATCGAACTACATGAAAACTGAACAGAGAATTCTGAGCATCAGCGGTGAGTGACCCATTTATATACCGAACATAGATTCATAATCAGATCCTCTTCAAATGTGTCCTAAAATGTTCTTTCATGTTAATGGTTATGTCACGCTACCGGAAGTAGCCGCAGGTAACCGGAAGTAGCCGCAGGCTAGCGGAGCAGGCTAGCCTCTGCACAGACAGGCGCCTGCTGAAAGCCTGTTGTACTCGCTGAATAATGTTAGGAGCTGTTTAATCAATTATCAGAAAGTCTTATTTGTTTGGTCATTTTATTTTGGTAATCTATGTGACGTCACTAGTGAGGTCACCTGCCCCCACTTTCACCTCTGCTCTTTTGTTAGTCTGCTGTGTTCCCCTGTGTGAGTAGACATGTGCGTGCATAAGACCGAAACCATACGCTGACCAGACACGATAATCCACCCCACCCATAATCCACCCATACATGATCCATTCCCACCTTTAAATGCCTCCATATCCATAATAAAGTTCCCCATCTGGATGTACCAGCCTTCCCCGTGCCCTTCTCTCTGACCGGAGCCCCGTTTACAGTGCAGGCGCTCAGATCAGCAAACACCAGAGTATCCCACTCTATCACAATACTTAAATATTCAAATATATTCTAATGTTTAAATTAATAAACAAACAAATTTCGAATATGATTCAAAGCCCTAGAGTCAAGAGTCAAAGCCCTAGTCACAACACGCCAAAACACGCATGAAATTCAAGATTTGGACAACAATAAACATGTTCCCACTCTGGCAACATTATAAGCTGCGTTTTCATAGAGCATCATGTTTCGGAATTTGAATTTGCGCATCAGAAAAAGTCTAACACTCTGGAAACACGCAAACTTCGAATAAATCACAGATCATGATGTTTCTATGATTTTAAATCTGACTTCTGTGTGTATTATTTTGATCTGTATGTTTTTAAAATGTGAAGTGCTTTGTGATCCTGGACAGTGAAACGTGTGACCCAGCTATTGCTGTGGCAGGCTCTGCGCTGCGTAATTACGCACAGCTATTTGTATTCCTCATTCACATCTGGTAAAGCAATGTATGTGAGGCTTACACAAATCTAATTAATACACAGACACACTCCATTAACGCATGGACCGATGGACTATGGTATAGCTCACTCCAAATGTCTCACTGCCCTGTCCACCCGCTGGTGCTGAGAGAGGTCGTGGCACATAACTCCTCAAATGCTGTTATTCAGAAGTTTTGGCTCCAGAGTTTCTCTGTAAAATCTGGACCGCAAACGCTCTCGCAAGTGTACAGCGCTTCAGTGCATTCACAAGACGCTGCAGACGCTTCATTGATGAGAGCCACCGCTGCACAATATGAATTCATTCATTCATTCTTTATTTATTTACTTCTACAATCCAAGAGAGATTTTTATAATTATCAAAACATTTCTGCAAATTTGTTCAAAACGCAGCTGAATAAATAGCGTAGCGTAGTATATAGCGTATATTTATTTTTACATAAGCATGAACCACCTGTGGCACACCCTGCGCCGTTCAGGTAATTACGCATATGTTTTGCCTCATTCACCGCTGGCAAATGTGGGTTTTCCTTAGTTTTGTGCATAAAGCCATAAATGCACCTGATCTTGCTCAAAACTGTCTCAGCCACTGCCCTTTACTCCACAGAGGAGAGATAGGATGCGACTTTCATAAATACGCGGGTTTTGAGCGCGGCATTTATCAACAGCCGCAGGTGCGTACGCTCAGATCTGAGCGTATTTGGTAGTTACCTAGTGTAACTTAAGTACGGTTACACTAGGTGCAAAGCCACCTAGTGTGAAGCCACTTAGTTCGCTGTGGGTATACTCAGAAGCCTCGAGCTTCCCGCCAGAGAAAAATCAATGCTCCAATCACGGACGAGTACCTCCTATAAATGCCCCTCTGTAGTCCGTGCCTGCCACTTTGAACTCTGCCAAAGCCAGGCTGGACTGATGGGCCCGTAGCTAAGTGGCTTCGCACCATTCGTAGAACTTAAGTGGCTAACAATTGGTTAAAGTCATACCTGACTGAAAGACAGCAGTACGTACAAATTGATGAACATGTATCAGGGCGGAAGAACATAGTATGCGGAGTCCCCCAGGGGTCTATATTAGGTCCCAAATTGTTGTATATAAATGATCTGTGCGAAGTCTCAACAAAGTTGAGATTTATTTTATTCGCGGACGACACAACAATTATTGGTTCTGGCAAAGATCTACAAGTGCTTGTCTCAGAGGTCACAACTGAATTATACAAATTGAAAGATTGGTTCTGTAGAAATAAACTGTCGCTGAATATATTGAAAACAAAAATGATTCTTTTTGGTAAACGTAATAGTGATATACAAATTAAAATCAATATTGATAATGTTCAAGTTGAACAAGTCAAGGAATATACATTTCTAGGTGTGATCTTCAGTCATAAGGCTAGCTGGAGACCACAAATAGATAGCATTCGAGGGAAAATGGGCAAATGTAGATTTTTTCTGGACCAAAAGGCTCTCTTCACCCTGTACTGTTCCTTAATCCTACCGTACATAAACTATTGCTCAGAGGTCTGGGGAAATACCTTCAATAGTCATTTAGAGGTTTTATATAGACTTCAAAAGAAGGCCATATGAATCGTTCATAACGTCGGTTATAGGGACCACACAAATATACTGTTTTTAAAATCAAACACAATGAAATTTGATGATCTTATAAAATATAATACTCTGTTATAGGTATATAAAGCTGTAAATAACCAGCTCCCTAGAAACATACAACAAATGTTTGGTAAAAGAGATGGAAGATATGACCTCAGAGGCACTCATAACCTCAAAGTTCAAAGTGTTCACTCTTCCTTAAAAAGTTGCTGTATTACCCGGAGAGGTGTACAATTGTGGAATAATCTAGAGGAACCCTTAAAAGATGTTGCTTGTTTACAGCTATTAAGTGTGTTTGAGAAATATGCTAAAGACATGTAATCTTTTTTATTTTTTTTTATTTATTTATTTATTTATTTGAATTAGGACAGTGCACATTAATCAACACGTCAGCCAAAAGCATCAATGTAAATGTACCAGAATTAGCGTGAGAGCTAAATTGCATCCGTTGTCCTAAGGCAGGAAAAGAAACATTGACAGTAGGAAAATACAAACATAGTACAGAGAACAGCACAAAGTTACAGTCATAGTTACAAGGACAGACACAGGTAAGATAACATAACACGCCCAAGAATTGATTAAGCATTGAACTTTAATTAAACTACCTGTGAGTGCAAGATTGATTTGTTTTTAACCAGATTTTTAGGACCTTTTTAAAGGTGTGGTAATTGTCACAGTTCCTGATATGAACAGGCAGCGAGTTCCAAAACTGCGAGCCTCTGATAGACTCCACCGTTTGACTGAATTTAGTCCTACGACGTTGCACAATACAGTCTCCTCTGGTCAGCGCTCTGGTATTTACTCGAGTGTTACTTATTTGTGATATAAAATTCCTTAATGGTGGAGGGGCAAGACCTTTTAAAACTCTAAAAACTAAACAGGCATCCAGGAACTTCTGATAGCCGTCAAAATCTAAAATATTATACTTACTTACAATGTGGCAGTAATGATAATGTAAAGGCTTTCTATCCAAAGTTTTCAATGTTTTCTTAAAGAGAGACTTGATAGGGCTCATGTTGGACTCTGATGTTTGGGACCATGTGGTTTGACAGTACGTTATATGGCTAAAGATCATTGCATGCATATAAGCCTTTGCAGACTCTGTGGTCAGACATGGTCTTATATGCTTAAAATTTGACAAATTGAATTTAATGATGTGTGCAATTTTCTTGATATGCTGCTTAAAATCTAGATTTGAATCAAAGAGCACTCCTAAATACTTGAATTGTTTAACTTCATTTAATCTCTCGCCATTAACTATCACAGATGGTTGTTCGTTCCCTACTGGCTGACGAGAAAAGAACATGCAGACAGTTTTTTTTGTATTTAAATGAAGGCAAGAATTTTGGAGCCAATGGGACACTGGGACCATGGCTGCAGATAGGATTGCAGCAGCTTCACATTTTGTTTTAGCGTGCACATATAATACAGCATCATCAGCATATAACTGCATGTTAACAGTTTTACAGATGTTGGGGAGATTATTAATATATAGGCTGAACAGAATCGGTCCCAATATTGAACCTTGTGGGACACCTGCGGAACAATTGAGAAATGTGGACTGAACATTGTCTATTTGTACAGTCTGTTTTCTGTCTGTTAGATATGATCTCATCCAGAGGAGGGCGCTCTCAGAAAAATTAAAACTGGATAATTTGGCTATCAGAACGTCATGATTTAAGGTGTCGAATGCTCGTTTTAGATCAAGGAATACAGCACCCACATACCCACTCTTATCTAACATATATTTAACATTTTCTAAAAAGTAACAAGTGGCGGTTTCTGTAGAGTGATGCTTCCTGAACCCAAACTGCATGGGATGGAGCGGTGTTTCACAACAATTTAGGTGTTCTGTTAGTTGTGCAGCAACCCATTTTTCTATTATTTTGGACATGATTGGTAGGATACTAATGGGACGGTAATTCTCAGGTTTAGTTTTGTCTCCTGCCTTAAACACCGGAAAAACCCTTGCCATTTTCCAATTTGACGGCACCGTTGCCTGTTTTATGGATACATTAATTAAATGTGCAATTGGACTTGCAAGTGCCTCTTTGTGACGTTTCATAAAATCACTGGAAAGACCAAAGATATCTTTGGCTTTTGAGCTTTTTAGAGAAGAGATTATTTTTATAACATCAGGGATTGTTATTTCTTGTATACTAAATAATGTTTTGCTGAAATCAAGCTTTTTACATGAACTGTCAGTACATTTTAGATGCCCTGTCAGTTCCTCTATTGAACCTATAAAAAAATTATTAAAGCACTCTACGATTGATTTTGTATTGACAGTTAATGTCCCATTGACCTGAAGCTGTAGGTTTTTAGGGTGATCATCTTTGGTTTGTCCCAAAAGTTTATTCACATTTTTCCAAATCACTTTACCGTTTCCATTTGCACCTTGTATTATCTCTAAAAAGAAATTGGCTTTGGCTTTACGCACCTGATTAACCACTTTATTTCTGAGTGATGTAAAAATCTGACGATCAGTTGTGTTTCCTGTTTTTAGCGATTTTCTGAGAGCGCCGTCTCTCTGTTTCATTAACAGAGAGACTGTTAAGTATTAATCTGTTAAGTATTATCGTGTATCTGATTAACCACATCATTGTCGAAAGAACCAGTGTCACCAACCTCAAATTCAAAGCACTACCCGGCACAGGACATAAAACCTTACACAATACATAGTTAGGGCAGCAGGGTGTGGCTAGCTGATGGGGGGGGTCTCAGCCCTCAGCCAACTGGCCACGTCACGCCCTTGCTTTTTAATGCATCTCACTTAAAAAGGCAAACAACAAAAAGTAAT